CTTACTGCAATTAAAAAAAAAAAAAAAAAAAAAAAAAAAAAGAATTCCTGGAGTCACGAGTCATCCAAAACAAAAGACCCACACCATACATGGAAGGTCCAGAGCTCCAGTATTTTTAACCTCAATGTATTATTCTGCTTAGCTTTTGCCAAACAGAGACACTGCTCTTCAATGAAATTGTCATTCACAGTGCTTCACAATTGTGGGATCACCACACAATTCTCACAGTGTATCCAATTTCAGTAAATGTTCCTGAGAACAGCTAGGAAGTAATCAGGAGGAATCGGTTTCTCCTAAAGGAGGAATCTCTTTTTTCCCTTAATGGAAATGGGGGAATGATACATTAACTGGCCACATCTGTTCATCTATATGTATACATGGACTTGGGGGACACACTTCCAGCCACACTGCAAATACATTCTAACAAAGCAGGCGTGAAAAAAGTGAAATATAAATCTAAAGTTACTTTATGGATCATAAAAAGGAAATTAAGATGTCAAAAATGAAATCCTTCACTTATACCTTCTCCACTGCTTTTTCATTAATTAGTGGCCCTTGGGTAGTTTTTGCATCAAATCCACTTCCGACGTGTAGTTCTCTCTCTATAGCTTTAGCAAACTTTTCCACAAATTTGTCATGGATTCCCTTTTGTACCAGGAAGCGGTTTGTGCAAACACAGGTCTGAAAACAAACACGAAAAGGAAAAACAAACAGTAGTTTATATTGTATTCAGTCTATCCAGGACTTTGTCATTCTGGCCTTCATGGCACAGTATCAGGTTACTACGGTGATCTGTACCCTGCCTCTTCTCCATCATCCCAAGCTGTTACCTAGCTTTGCCATTTCTTTTATCACCCCTCTCACTTTAGAAATACAACTTCAACTAGCTGTCAGTACACGTCTGAAATATGCCACACTGCTAAACTTAAGTCGCTTATGCTGGGAAAAGGTTTTGAGAGTTCTGTGGACTGACATATGGATCAACCAAGGTCCAGAAGCTACAAGCAATACTTTGCAATCAGGCTGCAGAATACTGGGCTGAGCTGCAGAACCTCAAATCGCGCTTGGTGGCGTGGGGTCTTTTTTCCTAACTCCTTCATTAATGGAGTTTGAGTTTGCTTTCTTCCTAGCACTTGTTTTTAAGTGCTTTCAGTGGCCTACTTATTGTGCTACCCCTTTGCCCTGACTGCATCCTATTTTGATTGCTACAGCCTCTCAAAAGTAACGGCGACTTTACCCTTCTATGCAGCAGCAGAGGTGTCTCTTACGTCAGATCTTGTCCAGTCTGTGTCTGATCACTCAGTGGTCCTTGTCCACGTTGTATTCTGTTTCCTTTCTTTCTTCCCTACCAAGATTAGTCTTATGTTTTCTTCTTGTGTTATTCAAGCAATATTTTCCCCACCAAATGACCTCCCAACCCCACCGAAAACTTGCTGCTTCTCCAAAGCTGGAGTTTGTCAACTTCACATTCATGTGTAGAGGTAATATTCATAAAGCTGGAACAGTCTCCACACAGCCCTGCTCAGCTGACTGTTCTGGAAATTGATACTCTTAAAAATTTTTTGACTCTAAGTAAAATGCATTTGAAGCAATGTACACTTGAATCCCATCCATCACTTTTGTTTAAGCTCCTCATTGTGGAAAAACCTAGCCATGAGTGTTTTAACATGTTTCAAACCCCTTAACTCCTGCTGGGTGCTTTCAGAACACAAAAGGACTTGAATCGAACACACAGTCTTACAGATAGAAACATTTATCAGGAGCCTCAAAGCCATTATTTTAAGAAATGGCTAGGCACATTTTATAAAATATAATCCTGAGAACTGAGGCAGGATGGGGTCTTCATGGCTCTAGTTTTCCAAGGAATTTAATGCTAACAAAAGCATGTGACAAAATGCCTTACCACTTCTCACGCTCTTGCGAGGGGGTCCTAGCGAACACCTTCCTTCTCAGTGATATTACTGACTGCCATGTATGTTGTGAAAGTACATGGGATTTTACAGTGGTGTTACTCGCTGGTAACGGCTTGAATGCCCAGAGCCATGCGTGGCTCCAGCACCTTTCTCTACACAATGAAGAGTTCTATGTTTTCCTTTTACAGAAAATAGCTTATTTACAGCTTAAACTGTATGTACAGCTCTTCACTTTCCAGAAACAAGGACAAAAAGGTTACTCTTACCTGCCCTGAGTTTCTGTACTTAGAAGCAAGGGCTCCTGCAACAGCACGGTCCACATTGGCGCTGTCAAACACTATAAAAGGAGCATGTCCTCCAAGCTCCATGGAAACTCGCTTCACAGTGCCAGCTGCGTGTTTCAGCAGTATCTGTAGGCAACAGAGGAGATACAGAAATTGGTACCTCTACCAGATGCGAGCTATGGAACCACAGATGGAAGGCAGTGAAAAACTAACTCTGGCAGGGAATTAATCTGCATCTTCTCTATAATGCTAGACCATCTGTCTTCTCCTGTGACAAAAACAAGGACTAATTTCCTTCACTAAAATCTTTAGAGACAAAATTCTGGCCAAGAAATAATGAAAAGAAGGATTTTCATCAACTTCAGGTCAGGCTTTTATACACTAATCTTGTTTGCTTATTCTTTTCTTTTTTGGTAATAAAAATCTTGACTACTCTTACAACATTTTTCCAAGATCTGACAGAATTTGGGATTAGTATTTGCCTCAACAGCAAACTTTTCCTTCATTCTGCATACGGCCATCCCACAGAATTCTACTGTCTTTGAGCCACGCTCTGGAGTTTAACTGATTTAATTAGAGATGGTGACAAGTACGATTGCTTATTGACTAAGGTTGACCGGAGAAATGCAAGGGCTTCACTCCTCTAACACTTTCTCTCAACTGCAGAAGCCATTCCTGAATAGTACCTTTGAAACTCAATTTCAGTGTTCTTATTAGTATGTTGTCACCCTATGATATGAAACAAGAGCATCTTGTACAGAACTGTTCACACGATAATTCGATAAAGGGCAATTATTCATAAGTTGCACACAGGCAACCTTCTGCAAAGTACTGATACCAAAATAAACAGGCAGTTATCTCAGGAAGTACACAATTATTCAGAGAACCTGTGTACAGTACCTAGAAAAGAAAAAGGCTCTGTATAAATGTACACATTTTCCCCCTACCTTTCCAGTATAACCACAGTAATAATCTTCAAGGATATTCGGTGCACTTACATACCTTTCCTGTTGCTGTGGAGCCAGTAAAAGATATTTTGGCTACCAGTGGATCAGTGCACAGAACTTCCCCTACAGCTGGCGCCTGTTGCCTGGAACAAGGAACAACATTATACACTCCCGCTGGAATTCCAGCCTGGTTTGCAAGCTGCAACAAAAGAAACAGAGAATTTGCATTATCAGTGCATTTTGTATGAGGAATAGTCACTTAATGTTTGTTTATGGTTTTGAAGAAAGCAGCCTGTAAGTCAATGGAAACCAAAACTACGCAGCACAACTAGTAACAGATGCCACGGTGTCAAGAGAGCAGTTTTGCTCCAGTTTTGCTGGCTGTCATTCAAAGTCGCCAAAGGAAAGACACAAAGATGTTTTGTGTAGTTAATTGGCCAGGTCCTCTTTGAGACCATATCAGAGGCAACTTTCAAAGATTCTTACTCAACTATAACCTCTGGACTAATTCAGCCAGCTTGTCATTCCTTCGTGTATGAAGTTGGCTGAATTTTATCTCTGAAGCCCATCTGACTGCCCGTTTACAGCTTCAGTCCCCTGCTAAGATAAAGCTTAGCATAAAAGCTCACCTCCCCAAGAGCTAATGCTGATAAAGGTGTGTCCTCTGCAGGTTTCACTACCACCGTACAGCCAGCTGCCAGAGCTGCACCAACCTTCCGGGTAATCATAGCACTGGGGAAATTCCACTAGGATGAGAGAGAAAAGTTACAATCAAACCTATGAAAATTTTGCCTCCTGTTTTTGCAGAAATAGCTGACATTTTCTGTAATTATGTGATAAACTAAACAGACCTGCATGGTGTGCGTTGTTCTAAGTGAGCATTACAAAGAAGCACTGCCAATCCAGGAAGAAGCGAGTACAAGGTAGAAATGAAACTACAGGGGTGTTTCCTGGGCAGGAGGAGCCATAAGGGCCCCATCCTGTGGGCTGAGCTGAAAACCTTCATATGATTTGAAAAATTCAGCTATGCTTACTGGGGTTATAACGGCTGCCACTCCTACTGGCTGCTTCAGCACCAGGATTCTTCGGTCTTTTGCGGATGCTGGAATTACATCACCGTAAACCCGTCGAGCTTCCTCCGCAAACCACTCCAGAAATGAGGCAGAATACAGGATTTCACCCTGTGCTTCTTTCAGAGGCTTCCCCTTTGATTAAATCAGATTGGAGATACCCTGTAAGTGGCACACTGAAGTGATAAAACCAAATTCAAGTAATTTTGAAGTTTCTGTTCTTTTCAGAGTACTTTATAATCCCCTACCATGTACACTGAAGCCTCAAAAAGTGATTGTATGACTGCAGCAGCAACAGTTGTGTGGCTTCAATACACCGTCATTGTATAGTCAACATTTTGCACGTTGTGCCTGGATTCATACTTGCCCAAGACAAGGAGCTGGACTAGCAAATGTAGCATGTGTTTGGTTACAAACTCTGCAGTTTGCTCCTGTTACGATTCTGAAGAAGATGCAAATCATGGCAAAACAGTTACAAGTTTATGCCCAGGACATTTGTTTTGGGGAGTATTACTCTCGACCACTTCCAGCTCTGGTCCCGTGGACTGTATGACCATTACCAGCTGGGACACCAACAGAGGAGCTGCTGAAGTATATTCTAGCAGGGTTTTATCCAAAAGGATACAAGTCTGTGAGCTCCCAGACTGCTCTGTGATGCAAACCAAAGCACCTTGAGGGACTCCAACTTGGAGACATTTTTTTCTGAGTCAGTGAAACTGATAAAACACAAACATTTCTGCCATGAAGACCATGGTTTAGGCTGACGTATGCTTTTGCACACCATGAAGCACAACATGGCTCTGGTTTCCGCTGGATTGTTGGGTACTATTGTCATCAAAATAATGGACTGTATGTATGCCAGAAATGGGAAAGGTTGAAATGTTATCCACTGGCCAACAGAGCGATGTGAATGCACAACAGGTCTGTGACACTCAACATTTTTAAGTGATAAAAAAAGACGGCGGGTAACCGGTGAAACGCACAGAAGGTGTTAGGCGAACGGGGGTGGCGATGGCTGTCGGTGTTCTTTCATTTCAACGTCAGCATCCCGCTGTTACGCTTCCGAAATGGCTGAACGCCAGCACAGCCCCGAGCCCGGGCTGACAGGGGCCGCCGCCACCGCCGTACTCACGTTCTCGGCCGGTATGATCCTCGCCCGCT